AATAACATAGTAAAAAATCTAATGAAAGACGACTATACAATACGGCCCATTTCAGACATTTAAGGCAATCATACAAGACTGGAGTTGAAAAAACGACGGTGCAATCAAGCGACTAGTCTTTTCCAAGTGTAAAAACGAACATACGGCTAACCAAATATATGCAGTTGTCACGACCGATTTCCATTAAACTCATGCATAATGTAAAAGCAGATGGGATAAACAGACACTGCTGGTTACTGATTACATGCATATAGACATCGCATCTGTGTCCGCTCTAAAACAATATATTTGACATTATGCAGAAATGGTGCACACTTATTTCATTTCCCAAGATCGTGGATGTTTGGGACGTCCTGGTGCAGACAGACAGACAGACAGACAGACAGACAGACAAGCGGGACAGAACAGAGCAGCCTGAAGAAACTCAAATTTCCACACGCTGTGAAAAGTGATCCACGCTCCGGTCTCCACATCTTCCTGGACACAGATACTTGGGGGGACTGTACATACTGATACGTTATTTTTTTTGTAACAATCTATCAATAACACTGATAAACCAGCCTTTTTCCTCTAGAATGTCTCACTTTTCTCTGACCAAATATGAACAAATAAATCCAATCTTGCCAAGTCTGCTCTTATCTCATCGAGCCAAGGCGGGCGGACGATTTTTTCCGACTAAACACTTATTAAAGTTCAGCCCTGTGTGAAAAGCTCTTGAGGTTGGAGCGTGATAAGTGAAATGTTAAACCTCCTCTACTCCTCCTCTGACACTTGAGACAAACAAAGACAGAACAAGGCCTTCAAACCGCACGATCCATCACATCGAGATACGTTTCTTATTCCAATGCGTTGGGAAAGAGCATATAGAATGTGCCGAGTGACTCCTCTAGAGTCACACTGACGTGTGTAGTTTAGCGTGGGGGGGAGGGGGGGGGTTGGGTTGTGAGTATTCTTGGGTTTCATGTGACGTCAGGGCAGTGGCGCGAATAACAAACGTAGGACAGGACCTGACGTACCCCGGCGGTGCAGTCTGCCGGGTTTATACACGGAGATATAGTAGAAGAAGAAGCGCTGTCAAAATGCCATCTTTTTGTGCAGTGTACGCTTGTAGCAACCGCGCAAATAGGGAGAAAGACAAAGTTTTCTTTCATGTTCCAACTGTGGTCTCATATAAAGGAGGACACTTTGAAAAAAACACTTGAATGAGGCGGGCGAGGTGGATCAAGGCTTTCCCAGATAAGCGCCCCCTGCAGGCCACCCGAATGAAACACAGCAATTTCTTCTGTTGTTTTTTCCAAAAATGCACAAAATCAAGACTCTTTTGAGAAATATTTTTTAGTACTACCTTAGAATTGAGTGTCCCCGATTAAGACTGTTACAACAACCGTACACCGCGCAGGATGAGAGCCTTTTGACTCCAAAACAGACACGATTTACATGGTTTTCAATGGGAGCAAAACTGAGTTGTTCCACGTCTGCTCATTCGCCCCCTACTGGCCAGTTTAATGAAACCCAAGAATAGCCTGATAATAAACAATGAAACATAATGTGACGCTAAGTTCGATGTCTTCTCTGTCCGTGCATTGTCAGGACTGCTTCGAAATTAGGTGGTAAAAACAAACAAATCACAGGAAGCCTTTCCCCACTGCAGCCCCGACTGTTTTGACATGAGTCGGAATAGTGTAACGACCCAGACAGAAGGACAGCTTGTTGTCTTGTTTGAACCCGTGCCAGATTTTTTTCTACGAGAAAGATAGGAACGTCTCAAAATAAAATGGTCAAAACAAACGACGGTCTTTCAATAAAAGTCTTCTAAAGTCAGATCTCAGTGCAACCAGAACGCCAGGGAATCGCTAATGGACGGCTGCAAGCTTACCATCCACGTGCAGCAATTTAAACTTTTTCAAACATATATTTCACAAGGACAACTTCATAAAAGAAAGAATAAACAAAGAAAGCAATGGGCTATAAAACAGTTTGATTTTGTTCTTTTCTAACAGCTTTAAATATTGGGTCGTTCTGATACACCAGCCTGTGTCGCTCAGTTATATGTGAAAAGGCATCCCGGGGTTTTTTTGTCGAAACCCGTGTTTTTGCACTGTGGGAATAAAACAAAAAGATAGATTCTTAATTGTAATTTGTGCCAAAGCGGTTGTAGGATACTGCCGACAACCAATCAACAGCAAGGAAAGAACAGCGGTTGTGTACCGATGGCGGTGAAAACAGAAAAATTTTGACGATGTCGATTATTCAAATTTGAATGAATCGCATAAAAGCCGAACCTCCAAATGTTCTTACTGTACTAACTCTTTTTGCTTGGATTAATCAAAATATTGCCGTTCTGCCTGGAATATTCTATAGTATGCCTTTAATTGTTCCATTCAGATTGAGGACAAGTTAGTAGTCATATAAGAGGTAAGCCAACCCAATGTGAGAAATCAGGTTTTTGCATAGTAATAACATATTCGCTGAGTGATACTGAGAGGTACATTCCAAGCAAAGAGATAACCCTCTCCATAACCTCAAGTGGGTCGTGGACCACCTCCAAAAAGCTCCGCAATGTACATTTGAATAAGAAGAAATAGCAATCACATCACATTGTAAAAATCCAATCTCCCATCAACACCTTTTCCCTCCATTAGAATCTTCACCAATAATGCCAAAAATATCTCTTCAAGGATGCTGCGTGTGACCCCTTGAGGGACACGGCGGCGCCCCCTGTGTGCGAGGTGATGACGGAGCGGCTCACGTTGGCTCGTTGTTTACATGTTGGGGAGCGTGCAGTCGGGACACGGGTTAAGACTGAAGCATATGCGTTCCATGTGTGTCTCTGTACAAACAGCCCAACGCTTCACTCTTCAGCCGTGCCACCGAGGAGGACACACAAGCTGCTTCCTGAGAATCAGACAAACGCCGCCCGACGAGCCTGATCGTCTTCAGAAGCAGCCAAACATGTGGACAGCAGTTGTGGGTCAAAAAAAGTTAGTAGCTGCCCCTGTTCTTGTTTTACATCACTGCCGTTTCGGTTTGGTGCATGCATTGGCAGGTTGTGGGGTATTTAGTATAGGCTGCAAGAGTTTGGCAAAAATGTTAATTGTGATATTTCTGACCAACCAATGTATACACGCAACTATATATGACTTGCACTACACACTTTTTTATCCTGCGAAAGTTGGGGTTTTTAAGACTTCTTTCCTTATTATGCTAAAGATGGAGATTTTATACTGCTTCTAGGTATGCTATGTTAGAGATTTTATTTTGGTATAGAGTTGTTATTCATTCATCTTGTGTTGTGTGCTCCTCATTCCCACTGTAACTGGTGATGCAACACTGAAATGTCCCCACTGTGGGATGAATAAAGGTTCTTTTAATCATAACAGTGTGATTGAGCTATGTTTAAAATGTCTAATTTTGTTGAAGAGAGAGTTCCATTTGAAAACGCAAACATATGACCTCGTACGATTCACATACATTTCAGACATTTTTATGGTTTTATAGTATGAGCTTCTGCCCAACAACAAGATAAAAGATACTGGTTTGCTCATCGACAAATCTTCAAAATAAACTCAGATCAAGAGGAAATGTAAGTGATGAGAACTTTAAAAAATTGCGGTTATTGCGCAACACTGACACATTTATGTATATTAATATAATTATTTCACATTGCGTCGCCTTGGACAGTATATCTGGCACATAACTGAAACAAGTCCATTAACGCCCTCCTCATGAAACAGAATGCAACTTTTGTAAAAACTAATAACAAGAAAACGTAAGAGAACAGTTCATTTGCGACACCAGACATTGAAACCCGTTTTAAAAATGTGTCACTAAGTTGTTACTCTAGTTGCAACTTCCAACATGTTTTCTTATTGGCAGTAACATTTTAAGAATTTGGTCAAGAAAGAGTGAATTCGTTTGGCCCTAAAATATATCTATATATACATATCTATATAAAGGCAAATTGAAAACCGTTCAAATATTGTTCCTAATGTCACTTATCTGTTTTTTGCAAATTAACTGTTCAAGTCTGGGAATAGCCCTAATGCTTTTTTTTTTACAATAATCCTATGGAAAACATACAGCAGGAGACTGAATTGTTAAAATGGAACCTAAACGTATCTTAAAAACCATCATAGGCAATCATAAAAGACAAGATCTTCTCCGGCCCCCACTTGTGTTGACCACAAAAGCATCTCGGTCTAATCCTTAAATCACCCTCAGCATCCAAAACACTTTTATAATTAATGAGGCATACGTCAACAACACATTTGTGAGGCACGAATGATAAATGTTTTACACCATTACCACTTCTGTGTGCGTGATGTCGTCAGCACACTGTAAAAGCATGAATATTTTAAAGGCCACAATCTATCTGCTTCTGAGCAAAATCAAATATTCAGTGATAACTTTTGCAGCCCATATACATTCAAAATTGCCAGTCACTGGATATAGAAGTAAGTAATCCACTGATGCTCGTTTCCCATCCTGGCCATTCAAGTGGAAGAGATAGAAAGACCTTTCATACAGATTTGATTTCACAACTATTTAGATTACTTCTAAACCTGGTGCCCATTCATACATTATCTGACAGCACTATATATGATGAGAAGATAGGATCCTGCTCAAGTGACAACTCCATATGTTATCAACACTATGTGCATAATCAGCAATAAAAGCCATGTCCTCAGATGTGAAGATAAGAAAAGATCATAAAAGCAGTAGATTAGTGCAGTGCATCTAAGAGAATCAAATAGTAATGAGATGAATCAGTCCCTGTCCCGAGATTACCCCTTAACAGGGCTGTCATCAAACCTCACAAAGAAGGAGAAGTTGCATATGTATTATTTGCATTGGATGTGTGTTTGTGGTCAGGGTTGGGGTTGTATCTGAGCTGCTTGCTATTTCTGAAAAGTGTTTATTTGTGGGGAAAGTAATAATAAAGAACTTTCAGAAAGCATACAGCGTAATGACAGCAAGAGCAGAGAGTAAACGCAGAAAACATGCAGAATGTGACGTCTCTGCGGGACACAGTGCGGTCCTACCTGGTCCCGCTGGATGCAGGGCAGAGAGGTCCTGCGGTGGGACTTGTTGTGGTGGTGACTGTGGGCCATGTCTGTACAGATCACAGAGCTGGACCTTCTGCGCCTTTTAAACACAGACACGTCTCTTGTGGGGGTGCAGCCCTCCTCACGCAGTGTCCCGGGCTCAGGCAGCAGCCTATCCGCATACCTCGCCAGCAGGATCCCCAACACTCCCAGCAGGTACGCCACGTACGGTCTCCACGAGGCGCGCACTTTGTGCAGAGAAAACACAGAGAAAGTCCTGAGAACACTGAGGATCAAGAAGAGGGAGATGCCCTGGTTCAGGCGAGCGACCATGAGTGCGCCAGCGGCCACGCACACGAGCAGGAGCACGGCCGCGCAGGGAGCACTGAGCGCTGCATGTGTCCCATCCAGAAGAGAGCTCAGCACCGCCTCCGCCAGGTGCCACAGCGACAGCAACGAGAGAGCAGTGTGCAGCTGGACCTCTCCACGGAACAGGAAGACCCCCAGCCAGAAGAAGGCACACAGGAGGCTGAAGAGCGGCGAGAGCGCGCTCCAGCAACTTTGGAGCAGCTCCGCCACGCAGCTCCAGAGCAAGTGAAGGGCAGAGAGAGAGCGTGTGCTGTGCTCAGCCTCAGCCCCCCACTCTGCACATCTGAGCAGGAGCGCGACGCACGCACACAAACACCCGACGCACACTGCCACTTTGTGGGAACTCCAGAGTCGGGACAGGGGCAGCCTGGGACAGCGCTCCTGCGGCTCAGTGGCCAGCGGGGCAGCACGTGCTTTCACGTAACCGTTGAGGCTCATACACTCACAGTCAGAGGACATTGCCATCACTCATGACACAAAAGAAGCAGAAGGAAGTGTTTCATCTGCTCACAGCAGCGCGGGGCTTTGGTTTTTCTCACAGAAAACATCTTTGACTGGACTCAGAGTCGGGTCTCCTTTACGCAGGGCCACGCGTCCCGCTCTGGAACTCTTTTGTTGTCCCAGGTGCAGCTTGACGGAAGCAACATGAAGGAAAGTCAGATGTTATACAGATCTAGGACACCGATCCTTCGCACGCGCACACACACGCGCGCGTCCTCCTTTGCCCCTCTCTGCCTCCTGGACTTGTGTCATTGTCTTTTCTTGCGGCAGCGATAACAGTGCCTGGACATCAGCGCCTGGTCCGCTCCTCCTGCTTCATGCGCCCATTGTTCCCTTCTCTGGTCCTGGTTAGTTTCCTCAAACCAGATGCGCTCAAGTGGCTCTGGCTCCTCGCTATTGATAAAACGAGGCTAATCCCAAAGTATCTGTCACTACGCGCTCCACACTGGCCGCCCTCTCTCTGAGCTCATTCCCACCCTGAGTGCCGAGTCTAACAGGGAGCAGAGATTGCAGCAGCCCCAGATGTCTGCTCTGCCAGCCAAGCAGGCGTTGTCCTCACCACGTCCAAAATGAGGCAGACCTGGATACGTCCCTTTACATTTTCCAAATACCTTCAGTTTCTCAAATGTCAAACTGAAAAACTTAATCTCTTCACAGACACAAGTGCACGTCAGAAATAATCTATTCACACTTTTATTTCACTACTGACTAGCTGGGCCTTGGACTTAATGAAGAGAATCATTAAAACATATCTGTAAATGTTACTTATCGCCGCTGTATATCCAGGACACATTTATTCACAGCTCATTCGACACATGAACGTCTCCTCTGGGATCACACAAGTAACATCTCAGGTTCATCTGTCTTCATGTGTGCAAGTCCATTTTTACACACCAACACATCAAACATCACCCTTTTTCCCATTCCACAGCAATGGGACTTGCAATATTGTGACGTATACGCTGCACAGTTTTGTCCTTCCCTATTCCCTTTCAACGTCACTTAATTGTTTGCCTGTATATATATTCCGAGCAGAATCGTTAACACAATCCCCTTAAAGTTGTCATTGGTGATATTTGTCCCCATTTACCCCGGACAGACCAAGGTTTAGCTCTGTTATCCATGTCCCGGGATAGATTTATCTCAAACCATTCAATTAAATTTGTTGTCTTTTTAGCAGGGCACAAGTCTGACACCTATTAACAGAAATTTACTTGGCCAAAATAGTTGAAAATGATGTTGAAAATAGTAGTTTATTTGGTCAGTCTTACAATGTATGTTTTACAGGTACAGTACATAATTCAAAGAGACAAAGCTCAAAAGGAGAAAGCAGAAGCAAAAAAGCTTAATGATCAAAATTGAAAACAAATTAACACAGAAGAGGCTTTTTCTGTACTGAGAAAAAAAAACTGCTCTCCTCTTTACACTGAGCGATACGGCCTCTTCTTTTTGCCAAATATAGCAGTAATTTTTACAGCAATTAAACTATACTAGCCTTTACAAGTGGGTCAGGTGAAGAAGGTTAGACAACTATATCCTCAAGTCACACAAGAGACAATACTTTGCTTAATGACAGCGTAAACAAGATGTGAAACAACAGTGAAGCAAAAGTCGTCCGTTTAAAGACAGATGGAAATTCAGTTTTGTCAAATTCCATAGCAAAGGGATTCCCTGGTGTCCTGGGCGCACTGTATGACTTTAGAACGACTTATGACTGACAACTTTGGACGCTTTTATTTGGACATGTTTTGGCCTCCCCTTATGTTTAAAAACCGGCACAGGTCCAAACAACAAGGGTAAAAAAAACAAAAAAAGAAACGGGTCTGAAATCACCTATAGATAATACACACTGGACATTAATGAGCAATGGATCAAATCAAACCAATGACAAAATGACAAAATAAAATCGGTGGGTGCGTAACGGTAATGGTGAACTTAAAAATTCTGTGGATGAGGAAACAGAGAAAACTACCATCCATTTTATTTATATAGCACATTTTATAAAACAAGATTTGAAAGTGCTGCAAAAAGATAAAAGACACACATTTGAAAATACAGGATTGCCAGCTTTGTGCGTCTAAGAAGTCGAAAAACATAGTGTGTTTAACCCTTTAATGTTCACTTCTTGAAGGGAGCAATGTATATATTTGTTTTGTTTTATGTTTGTTTTTTTGACCCCCTAGGTTTTTTTTTGTTTTGTTTTTTTTCAAATATAGGCCTTTACCACATGCAATTTGATGGTAAAAGTGCGCAAAACCAAGTGAAAAGCAGCAATGAGGTTGATTTCAGTTACAAGCTTCAACTCAAAAATTGTTCCACCAAAATCTCAACATTAGACTCTGCACAGTACATTACCAGAAAGCAGATACAATATGTGCTTTTTTCTTGTGGCTCACAGGCTCACCTGTGCCTGCATGTTGACAGGGCTCCTCCCGGCGCGTCTGTCGGCAGAGTTTAGCCGTAGCCGGAGGGATTCGGCCTAATGTGCGGCGATGGGAGCAGGAGGAGGCCAGGCCAGTGTCCATCAGAGCACACAGCCACACTCTGGCCTCTCGTCAGCGGGCATCGGACAGCTGTCTCCAGTGTTTACAACACCGGGGTTTTTAAAGGTCCACTGTGCCGCGTCCTGTTTGAAAGAGGAGCAGAAAGGACACAACTTTGTCAAACAGTTTATTTGAATGTGACAGAGAGAGAAGTGGTCTTTTATAAGCAAAGATAAAAGGAGAGGAATGATATAGACTTCGTGGGTGATTGGCTGTTTTTAAAGATGGGGTACAGAATTTTTCAACTCCAGCAATGAAGCAATGGAGACAAAATATTTCACTAGTTCCATATGTATATGTACAGATGTATACATACAACTACATTTTTTTTGGACTCGATCATTCTGTATTTTGACATCGGTTTAATATAGCGCTTCTCGGGACACTCGAAAATGCTTCACATGTCATCATTCTTTCACTAAACTACTACAGAAGCCACAGCTGCCCTGGGGCACACTGACAGAAGCGAGGCAACCAGTTTGTAACATCGCCTCCTCCAATCACCACCAAGCATTCACACACACACAAGAGTCATTCTAGGCAATGGGGGTGAAGTGTCTTGCCCAAAAACACAACAGCAGTTTGGCACTTTACAGCCGCCTCACTGTGGCACTTAGTTTTCCCAGAAGTCTCCCATCACAGTACTAACCAGGCCCTGCCCTGCACAGCTTCAGAGGTCTGACAGGATCTGGCTTTTGCATACAAGAAAGGCCATAATATGCTAAAGTATAATATGTTATTCTGGCTTCTTTATTGTGATTTTTTTTTATATATAGATTTATTGTTAATTTATCTTGTGTTGTGTGCTCCTCATTTTTACTGTTCTGTAATCTGGTGATGCAACACTGAAATTTCCCAACTGTGAGACCAACAAAAAAATCTCTCAATCTTAACCTTATTTGGAACCAGTGATTTTTCCTATGCATACACTATTGGCCTCTGTCCCATCTTTAGCCTTGTTAGACAGAAGCAGGACCACCCAGGGCTCGGTCTTATAAGTATGCAAAAGAATAAATGTTTTCTAATAAGATGAAGACAGCACGGCGTGACCTGAATCGTTCACAATATGCTACTTAGAGAAGAGTCTTTCTGTTGAGGGTGGGAAAAGTAAGGTACCCCAGCTTTAATATACAACACGTTTATAATGGTTTTGAACTCATTTCATTTTAATGATTGTGTTTTGTGTAAAATAATCTGTAAAATATAAGCCATAGAAGATAGTCATGAAATAATCTTGTGCCCCTTTTAGAACTAATGCTTTAAAAACATGCATATTTTTATTATTTATATTTGTGAGTGTCCTTTCCAGAGATCCAACCAGTAACCCAGTCTGTAGATGTGACCTGCTCATCTTTATGGAGAGCGACAAGATTAATTTTGTGGAACATTCAAGCGAAGCAGAAGATACAAGTCGGAAGTGGATTGTCCTTCAGAAAACTTGGAATGTGTGGTGTATTTTCAGGATCTATTTCTGTTTAATAGTGTCCTTTCTGTTGACTCAAAGTGATATTTTAGTGGATGCAGGAGGGTCTAAGGACAGTGGTGATGATCCAGGACACTCAACATTCAACAACATTTATGGACTTTATCAACATGCACGGACATTGGTCGTCTGCCCCTCATGGACCAATGGCTCTATGTGTTTTACATCATTACAGTTCTTGTGTTTGAACTGTTCGATTCTCTGATCTGTGCTGGCGAATCAACGGTTTTGTAAAGTCCTCTAACTATTGTTGTGATTAAGGGCTAAACAAGAATCCATTTAATAATGCATTGGTTTTATATTTAAAAAAAATTGACACTCAAAACGCTTCATATGTCATTATTCTTTCACTCCATACACGGTGGTTCACTTAACTTGTGCCGTGTGCTCCTCTTTCCTACTGTTCTATAACCTGTGATGCAACACTGAAATTCCCCCACTGTGGGACGAATTAAGGATCTCTTAATCTTTATCTTAAACTACTACTGTAGCCATAGCTGCCCTGGGGCACACTGACAGAAGCGAGGCAATCAGTATGCACCATCGGCCCCACCCAACACCACCAACCATTCACACACACACCAGACTCATTCTAGGCAATGTGGGTGAAGTGTCTTGCCTAAGAACACAACAACAATTTAGCAGTTTACAGCCACAGCCGCCTCACTTTGGCACCAGAGATCTCCCATCACAGTACTAACCAGGCCCTGCCCTTCTTAGCTTCTGACGGGATCTGGCTTTCACCTGCAGGTATTTAACTGAAAGGAATTGGATGCAGTGATGCCAGATTGTCAATAGTTACATATTTACACATGTCATTCTTACTCACAATGAGAAACATCGAGTAATGAGACTTGGCGACATAGAAACATGTGTTAAAACATCTGTCTGGGATCGGCTCTTTCCAGTTCAACTCCGGTTCGCAGCAGTCGAGACCGGCCGCGTCAGAACAGCCTCAAGTCTGGGACACACTCTGTGAAATGTTCATCATCTCCCCAATCCCCAAACAAATCCAAAAGCCGTTGTGAAATAGCCGCTAAGAATTTGAACAACTATGTGGCGCTCACGTAAGAGTCCGGCTCTGTTTGGACACACAGGACGGCTCATAGTAAACCAGGAATCCTTATGAGGTGCAATCCATCAAGCATCTGGTTTGGATGTGGTGAGGGGGGCTGACCTCGGCGGCCTCTGGGGTTCGGCCCCTGACTCTGGTGATGCGCATTCACTCACAATGAGCCGTCGTATACTTCATCTTTTGAAAGCGCTGGGAAACGGCCTGAGTCCTAAGCAGCTCTGAATCAGTTGCTGTTATGTGCTTTAGAATTTTTATTTTTCTTGCTTTTTTCTGCCTGAGATGTTGGTGCAGTACAGTGTTCATGGTTTTGCACTGGTCCAGACCAGAGCAGAGAGGATTCATGGTCCGAATCAAACGTATCAGGTGAAAATCCACTGGAGGAATGCTAACGTTTTGAAAAATGCTAATGACTAATTTAGCATTTTACTTTGGACTAGAGCAGAGAAAAGGGTCCGAAACAAGCGGCTACTCCACTTAGTGACCAGTCCTGCTCCACCCAGATGCTACTCCACCTCTTCTGCTATATTTTATTTTTGCTGCTACTGGACACCTGAATTTCTCCTATGGGGATCAATAAAGGATTTATCTATCTATCTATCTATACGGACAGAGAGACCAGAGAGAGATGAGAGAGACCAGAGATAGACCAGAGAGAGATGAGAGAGACTTGAGATAGACCTGAGAGAAAGAGACCAGAGAGGGACCAGAGATAGACCCGAGAGACCAGAGAGAGACCTGAGAGACCAGAGAGACCAGAGAGAAACCATGCAGAGATAGACCTTATAGACTAGAGAGAGACCAGAGAGAGACCTGAGAGACAAGAGACCAGGCAGAGACCAGAGAGAGACCAGACAGAGACCAGAGAGAGACCAGACAGAGACCAGAGAGAGAGAGAGAGAGACCAGACAGAGACCAGAGAGAGAGAGAGAGAGACCAGACAGAGACCAGAGAGAGACCAGACAGAGACCAAAGAGAGAGAGAGAGAGAGACCAGACAGAGACCAGAGAGAGACCAGACAGAGACCAAAGAGAGAGAGAGAGAGAGACCAGACAGAGACCAGAGAGAGACCAGACAGAGACCAGAGAGAGAGAGAGAGAGACCAGACAGAGACCAGAGAGAGAGAGAGAGAGACCAGACAGAGACCAGAGAGAGACCAGACAGAGACCAAAGAGAGAGAGAGAGAGAGACCAGACAGAGACCAGAGAGAGACCAGACAGAGACCAAAGAGAGAGAGAGAGAGAGACCAGACAGAGACCAGAGAGAGACCAGAGAGAGGCCAGAGAGAGAAGTGTTAGAACAGGCGTTAATCTCTTCTACAGGAAATATATATGGTGAAACAAGTATCAAATTGCCGGCTGCAAACACACATGTGAGATTTGTCTTAAAGGGGAAGAAGAAATGTTAGCGTGGTTGGACCAAGTTGCATCTCCTTTAAACGTTTTTTCCAATTATATGACTTTTTAAAAGTTGGATTGTGGAACTTCTCCTTATTGGATAATTGTGACATAAATATGGGAAGAAAAAGTAATATGTTGAGTGTGTTAAAGTTAAGATATGAATTTGAATGTTTTACAGACTTTGTGTGTGACTATACGTCTTGATTATACAGGGGGTAATAATGGGGTTGTAGGCAAAGTTGTTCAAAACTTCAACCTGACCCTTTCGAGCTGAGAAATTGTCAATTTTTGGATATGAAAGTCGTGTGTTTGTGATTTTCTTCTCGCTTTGAAAAAGATTGTAAAGTGCTTATGTGACCATGGTCTGTGAAATGCACTATACAGTCCGTTTATATTATAGATACATGACAGTACATATTGGTTGTTGACTAATGAGGAATATAAATAATAAATCTGAGTTCTCTCATTAATGTTAAAAAAATAAAAAGTTTCCAATGTGTGTCTTCAAAACACAAAATTACATCATTTCAAGAGTGCGTGACTGTGCATTGTGTCCGTGAAGTGGTCTCAGACGACGGAGCAAGGCTGTCTGGTCTTACGTCCACTGAGACACCACTGTGGAATGCACACACAGACTGAAGGACGAGACGATGGACAGTCAGGACAGACAGAGAGAGACAACTGGAGAGCGGACGAGGACCGAGACCAGACCAGACTCAGACCGGACACTGCAATTTGGGAGGATGGCTGTGCTGATGGAACAATAAACTCCCCCTGCGTTTCAACTCAGGCCTCTCATTTCAAGCTCTTGGGACTATATCTATAAATCGAAAAAAGAAATATTCTCCAACAGACTGTGCTGAGCAGAGATAGAGCCGCAGTATCATGTGCAGCAGCCCCCATCGTGGCACCGCTAGGACCACCGCCAACTTTCCACTGAGGAGCCGGCTCACTTCAACA